AATTTGTCTTGTTGGTTACAATAATACATAAATATTTGGTCTGAATCCTAATTTTATCTCATTTTAATGAGGAATTTTCATGTCCTTATAAAGAGGAAACCTCAAATTATATTTGAATATTGAGATTTATCAGATAAAAAGAAACAAAACTTTACTAACTCACAGGGAAAATCTAAAAAATTTTAAGGCGTTTTTCCTCAAAATCAGTTTTTTTATTGTTACTGCTCAAAAAAGTGCTTCAAACCTTTGTTTTATGATTATATTTCAGACAGTTCATTCAAATGATACATTAATAAGGCTTTTATTCATTATATTTTGACAAAATGCAATTTTTGTTAACATTTTAGTCAAAACACTATATTTGTCTTTTTCTCCATGTACAACTTTTAGACTTAATCCTTGTTTCAATGTGACGGGTCACATTTGACAGTATTATATTAGGTCAGCAGGACCAGAACAAAAGCTGAAATGAACAGAAAAGGTTTTTTACACAACAGTGTTGAAGGAGATACACTCCTGATCAAAATCTTAAGACCAGTCAAAAAGTGCAAGAATTTGCATTTTGCACTATTGGATCTTAAGAAGGTTCTAAGTAAGTAGAGCTTCACAATGTTAAAAGAAGAAATCAGTGCAAGAGACAAGAACTTTAGAGCAGGAATTTTCTGAAAACTGCATTTACACTCAAACATGATTTTTTCAGCTGATCAAAAGTTTAAGACCATAGTCTTTAAAAGCCAAAAGTTGTGCAAAAATCTAGAGTCCATGTCATTTTCTGTCAAGTCTTTACACTGTCAAGACCTCCTGATGGCAAAAGTAAAAAAGCTCACTGACTTTGAACATGGTAGGATTGTTGAGCTGCATAAGCAAGGCCTCTCACAACGTGCCATCGCTGCTGAAGTTGGACGCAGTAAGACAGAAATTTTGCATTTTTTAAATGATCCTGAGGGTTATTGAACAAAAAGGTCAAGTGGTAGACCCAAAAAAATGTCACCAGCTCTGAGCCACAGGATCCGATTGGCTGTCCGTCAAGACACGGGATGATCCTCTACCCAAATTAAGGCCATTACTGGTGCTGACTGCAGCCCAGTAACCATCAGACGGCATCTGTGAGAGAAGGGCTTCAGAAACAAAAAACTGTGGTCTTCACCTTCCAGGTCTTTTCCAGTTCCTCTCTGAGGCCCTGGTATTTCTCCAGTTT